GAGCACGAAAATTCTCATTCGTGGGCTTGGTCATAACCAATTCACCTCGTGGGAAGTTGAGTAATAATAAGTACCTACAACTCTCACATGAACTTGCGAGACGGTTCCTCAGTATCCTGGGAATTTCAGCTCGAAACTTTCGTAGGTTTGAGAGATGCTCTAGCTGCTGCTCAAAAACGGGGCTTTTCAACAGTTTCTTTGACGCGAAATTGAATTAAATTCAATTAATACTTATATTGTTGTCAAGCGCATTCTACAACAAGCATTAGATGAGAACGCTCTTAGGTGAAGTGACTACAATCGTTCATTCTTTATCCACTTTGCGATTAGCAGGTGCGAGGATTAAGGCCCTATGTGGCTCGAGTGACACTACCTGTAGCAAGTGAGCCCGCTCCGAACCAGCGTGTGGACTTCTGCGACTCTTGCCTTTCTAACTAAGGGCGAACTTCGATCAGGGTTTTTTTGAGTCTCACTTCGCGAAAATGCTAGCTCCTGGGTAAAAATCTCCTAGGAATCCACCCGCACCTCTCGCTGTGGAAAACTCCCTGTGGCATATGGGTGTCCCCCAAGAGGCCCGTCGCGCGGCGAAGGAAGAGACGCAGACGCGGCAAAGGACGAGTCGCAGCGCATACTGTAGCGGTTAGGCGTCAGGTTAAATAGAGTGTACCATACTACGTCTCATATCGCACAGCACGCGCTGCGACTCGTCCTTTGCCGCATCTGCGTCTCTTCCTTCGCCGCGCGATGGGCCTCTTGGGGGGGGGGGGGGACATCCGTGGAATATTTAACATAGCCTGAGGCGACAGTATAGGTCCGATCCCCACCTGGGGTGAAGAGTTAACCCATACATCGAACTGCGGCAAGAAACAGCGGTCAGAAATCAAGGACAAAACAAATTTATGTCATTTAAGGGTTACATAGCCCTACAGATAGCATCATTTATGCCCACATTCTGTAGCCGCAGCAAGTAATTTCCGAATACTCTATGCATTTCCTTATCCTGAACCAATTTAGCAATATGCTGTTTGCTGTCGGTGTCGGGAAGCCTCTCCAAAGACGTACAATCCGTGGTGACAGCTCCAGTTGCCAGCCTCGTCATCTTCCAAATCGCCACTGCTATGCTGTTGATTATCGGAGTTCTTATCGACACCCATTACCTGTTGATACCATTTCTTCTTAACTCAGTAAGTGGATTCTAAGCTTTATCGCCAATTTTATTCATATTAATGGCTGCGATTTTCGTGCAACTTCTGAGTTTATGTATTTTTCTTATTTTTTATATTTAGTTAATTTATGGTTTCGACTAAATTTTGGGAATAGTAGTTCATTGAACTGGTGATAAAATTTGAGATATATGTCAGTTTTGCGGAGACCACCGATCCATTTCTTAGAGGTATCGTCTGTCGCGATGACCCAATTTATTATAACCATTTCTTTCAAACGAATTTTCGGCCACCAAAGCAAGCCTTTATTTACTTTTCCATTTAGCTCATTTATTAACATTTCACTTGTGCCAACTAAAATACATCTCAAGTAGCAAAAAACACTTGCCGGATGACATACACTCTCTTTTGTCAATGTAGGCTTCGAAGCTATTCTCGCTTACAAATTAATGATGATTTTATGGAAGCAACAATTCAGTTCATACATTGTTCAGATTGTCCACATCTGCCTAGCCATAGGTGTTGCTGTCACGGTTCTCGTCTCAGCCAGTGATATCGAAGGTCTAGCGGACCACACTGTTGAGAAACCAGTTTTTACGCTCGATTATTTTTTTGGTACCCTATCTTTGTTTGACAATTTTTGATTATGTGTTTCACATACAATTACTTTTTAAACTTTGGACTTCTGTTCACTCCAAATCTCCTAGTCCCAGCGTAAATTTCCCGTGGTTCGGAGTTGGACGGGTCTAACTAAAATTACCAGGGAGTTAGGCTAACTTCTGTGGCACTTCAATATCCTAGTATCCACGAATTGTAAAAAATACTCGGAGGAAATACACGTAATCGGTTAGTCATACGTGAGCATTATGCACCAAAAATTGATGACGCACACATAACGGCCTGAATGGTACCGTGAGGCAAAAATCATATTCTGCTTCAGTTCACAAACTCCACCCACGCTCCAAACTCCGCCCACACTCACGAACTTCCGCCCTCATTTTTCTCCTTTCTTTTTTGGTATAGATAAACATACATCAGGCACATTACTACACAAACAAGACATACCCCCCCCCTCAAGTTTTTTTTTGAAATCTGAGTTGGTTTTCCTTACTGTAGTATAAGCGACAATCGATTTAATAGGATAGGGGGATCTCTCTTCAGATAGTTTTCATATTATAGTTTCACAAAAATATATCGCTTGTAGATCGTTATCGTCTGTGTCATTGCCCTCGTGCTCTACCTATGGTTCACGTCTGTCGTTGCAATGACCATCGCGTTGATTCGAGACAAACGGAGATTAGGGTAAGTCCCGTCGATTTGATTGATTTTTTTCATTTCTTGTCAACTGGAACAACAAACAATAAATAAAACAAACAAACGCTAGGAGAACGTAAGCTCACAAGAACGTGAGAACTTAAAATCGAGAAGGAAATCAGCTAAAATTACGAGAAGATAGAAAGAAAAATCAGGTAGAAATGATGAAGAAGTACGTATTGGATGAATCAAAAAAAACCTCAAAGAAGCAACCATGCTGCGGAAAAATATTAAAAAAATGTTGGGTTACTCATTTTCGAAATAGTCAAACGAACGTTCCCTCGCTAAGTTTTATTCTTTTGTTTTTTCTGCTTTGGGGAGCCATTTCTCGGTGTTATCACTCCTTTGAACCAGGGCTGGCCACCGCTTCGAGCAGTCTTTCTCACCAAAAGTTCAGTTTCAAAAAAAAACTGTTCAGAAAAGGATAAAAAAGGATAAAGCATTTGCCGTTGATCAATCCCTTTTTGGGATGCGGCACGCATTCTACTTCCATTTGTACATTCGTAGTGGCGTTTGAATGCGATGTGGCCTATACAATGACTTGCGGGGGCCAGCCGATGTACAAGTCAGTCCAGACAAGTCTGGTACCAATTAACCGACCCCGGAGGGATGGAAGGCTTGGTTGGCCCGGGACACAGGATTTGATCCCCGGACCGCTCGCGTGGTCAGCGCGCCACTACACCACTTCCGCCCGTTCAAAAAACTGGTTTCACAATGGAAACGCCCTCGAAAAATAACTTGAAATGATCCTTACAATGGCTACATCCAATCCCCGTTTTTGATGATCCCGCTGATATGTTGAATTGCGTTTTTGATGATCATGCTGATATGTTGAATTGCGGTCAACCATACCTCTGGCTGGCTTGAACGGGTGGTCGTGTTTTGTGATTTTGGCATAGAGGTTTTATTAGGCAACGTGGGGTCCCATTTGTGGAACATGACATACGTAGAAAGAGAAATTCTTCTATAGCTTGAAGAAATTTTCGCAAAGTCGTGAGGGGTTCTCAGAAATTCGGGCAATTTTTGTAATTGCCATGGTCAACGACCTTATCGTATGAAATCAAAACCGAACAGGGGAAAGAGGAAAGAAGAGTTATTATCTGAAATCGGCTGAAAACCACGCCACGGCTGCACCATTGCGAATAGCGGCAAGTAGCTGCGCATAAAGGCCTAAAATCAAAATAATCTTGATCGGTTTCAGAGAAAACTTCGCGAATTGTAGCATATACAGGTAGGCTACACCATTACTCTTAGTGTTTTGGTTTTAGATCCTCACTCTGAAGGAAATGCTTGCACAAGCTGTTAGATGAAATTGCCTAACACGTTTGACGCTTGCTCACAGCCGCACCGCAACCGCACGCGTCCCGTGCCTTTTTTCTCAGGCATGGATGCAATTGTGTGATTGCTGTAGAATTTGTGTTCTGAACTCACGCTAGCTGATGCTTTTAACTTTTGACTGTGTCAGCTTCAACTTTTTTTCAATTGCCTTTCGCTTTATATTTTAGCAGTCGATCACGATTCGACATTTTATTGAATTGCCTTCGAAAAAATCACTTTTTTGCAGCTACGTCCACAACGACGATTTCGACACAACCCGGCCGTTTGATCGAATCAGCAGTTCGGTGATCTAGCCAAATTGGACTTTCCACTTCATCCAAAGATCTCTTTCTTTTATCCAATTCCGATCTATCAGAAGAAATTTTCTCAAAAGCCAAGAAAAGAGAAGAAGTCAAAACAGATTTTTTACTTGTCATCTCAAGGATTCATCGTGAGAATATTATCGTTTTTCTTTGAGAATCATCTTTGAACGGGTTTACCTATGTGTTTTTCAGTGCATAGCACCAATTTGAATTTACTTGTATTTGAATCCGTTTTGCAATAAATTTTTTGCGCTTTACGTTTGGAGGCGGAGCTTACGATTTGAAGGCAGCTCATTGAAATCAAGGTAAATAGAGATGGTTAGTGAAGTAGAGATGAAGAGAAAATCAATAAAACAACGGCTACGGACCCCGAGAGATGCGGGCCATTTCTTCCTGTTCATTTACGCGTTTGGCGAGTCTCATTGAAGCTGACATCTCCCAACGCTATCGCTCTGTGTGCTAAGTGGCTGGAGCCAGACGGTGAGAGGCTGGGCGAGCAGCTGCGATAGTGGCGCGTACAAGGCCATGTGAGATAGCTGGGGCATAACTTCTTTGGAACCATACATTAGACCCACGGATCTCTTTCACTGAGGGTCCTCTCTCACTGAAAGATCTCGAGCCGGTTGGTGGCGAGGCTACGTGGCGCGACCCCAGGTGGCGGATAGGGGGTAAATCGCGGACCAAAAGCCACCATGTACTTGCCCTGAGACGCAGGTGGATTCAGGGGATGGACTCCCTGTTTCTGTAGTGCTGTGTTGATTCATACCAGCTGTCTCCACTCATGCATGCTTGCGTGTGTGGTGCGCTCTGTGTGTGTGCGGTTGGTATCCTGCATGTCGGCACAGCCAAAAGCTTGCATTCAAGTGACTGGGAAGTACATGGGAGGCGATTCGGGGCCGCCTCCAAAAATAAGCCCCTTGTTCCGCTCCAGGATAGCGTGGCTAACTACCTGGAGGTCTATCCTAGCCCGCACGACAGAGCCTGGCAAGCTACTCGTGTGCCTTCAATATGCCGAAAACAGCAATATGGATGGGCCTCATTCCCCTGAACCTGAGGGAGCCCCCAATACGGCAGCGTTGGGTAGGACCGCTCGGGAGAGGCTGCTAGAATCTCAGGGCCCGGATAGGCTGCCTAAACGAAGAAGGACTAAGATGGCGATCTGTACTTTCAACGCACGAACGCTTGCATCCGAAGCTCACATCGAAGATCTGATGATGCAGGCCAGGAAGATCAAGTACGACGTCATCGGACTGACCGAGACGAGAAGGCACCGCCCGCTACACGCCGTTTTCGATACTGGAGAAGAACTGTTCCTTGGAACATGCGACAGCAGAGGCGTTGGCGGTGTGGGTGTCCTCGTCAACACGCACTTGGCCATAAACATCGATTCGTACGAAAGCCTTACGACCCGAATCGGACGTTTGAGATTGAGAAGATGTGGTTCAACTCCTGCTTTGACAATCTTCGTCGCCTACGCACCAACATCCAGCTACGACGAAGAAGAACACGAAGCATTCTATATGGAATTGGAGAAGTTCTACAGGGAAGATCATACCTTCTTCAAGGTCATCGTCGGCGACTTCAACGCTAAGATTGGCCCAAGAAGAACGGCTGAAGAACTTCACATCGGTACTCACGGAATGGAATGGAATGAGCAGGGTGAGAAGACTGTCGAGTTTATCATGTCGACCAACACCATCCATGGTAACTCACAGTTCCAAAAGCCCCCTCACCTTCGTTGGACTTGGGAGTCACCTGATGGACAGTTCCATAACGAGATAGACCACATCATCTTCAATCGAAGGTTTTGCCTGACCGACGTCGCTGTTGTTCCGAAGTTCTACACGGGATCGGACCATCGTCTCCTCCGCGCAAAGTTCCACTTTTCGATGCGTGTTGAGAGAGCCTCGAAGTTCAGGAAGCGAAGCCCCAGGACAGTCATCAACTGGGATCACTTCGCTTCCCTCGTCAGCTTATGGGAGGATTCCGTCATCGAAAACATCGACGAGGAGTACTATCGGCTCGTTGAACATCTTCACGATTGTGGCAAGAAGGCAGAGAGTTTGAAAGTCACCAAGGGACGTCTGTCTCCGGAAACTCTCGAACTGATACGCCAGCGTGGAGCCGCACGAGCTGCAGGCAATCACCGACTCACGTCCGAGCTTGCGAAGCTATGCAGAGAGGCGATAAAGGAAGATCTCAAGGAGCGAAGAGCAGCAGTATTAGCTGAAGCAGCAGAGGCTGGGAGGAGCATCCGCAATGCCCGCCGAAGCTTTGCCAGCTACAAGACCAAGATGACCTGCCTCCGACGTCCGGATGGAACAGTTACTGCATCCCGAAGGGCAATGGAGAAAGTCATCCACGACTTCTACTCGGATCTCTTCGATAGCCATGTCCATCTGCCCACTTATCAACTGCAACAGGATGGATACGTCGTCCCCTCAGTTCTCTCTTCCGAAGTCCGACACGCCATCAAGTCGGTGAAGAATCGTACAGCACCCGGTCTCGACAGGGTCAAACCGGAACATCTGAAGAATGCGCCGCCAGTTATCATCAAAACTCTGGCTCGACTCTTCACGCGCTACCTGTCGGAATGCAAGGTACCCACTCCGTGGAAAACCAGCAGGACCGTGTTGCTGTACAAGAAGGGAGACCTGGACGACATTGGCAACTATCGCCCAATCTGCCTGCTGTCTGTAATCTACAAGCTATTCACTCGAGTCATCCTTAACAGGATCGGCAGAATACTAGATGAAGGACAGCCATGCGAGCAAGCAGGGTTTCGAAGAGGGTTCAGCACGATCGACCATATCCACACGGTTACAAGACTCATTGAAGTTTCACGAGAGTACAAGATGCCGCTTTGTCTCACGTTCATCGACTTGAAGAAGGCCTTCGACTCTGTGGAGACAGAAGCGGTCATCGAAGCCTTGGGCAACCAGGGCGTCCCTACTCAGTACATCAAGATTCTTCGTGAGCTCTACAGCAACTTTACGACCAGGATCTCACCATTCTACAAGGAGGTCATCATCGACGTCAAGAGAGGGGTTCGACAGGGCGACACCATCTCGCCCAAACTCTTCAGCGCCGCTCTCGAGAACGTCATGCGTCAACTGGAATGGGAAGACATGGGAGTGAAGGTCGACGGCCGGCAACTACACCACCTTCGTTTTGCTGACGACATCGTTCTTATAACGCCGAACATCGAGCAAGCGGAGCGAATGCTGGCTGATTTCGACTGCGCCTGTGGTAAGGTTGGTCTACAGCTGAACCTAACGAAGACGATGTTTATGAGAAACGGATTGGTTCCTGATGCCCCATTCACGCTCAACGGAACGAACATCACCGAATGCTCCAGCTACGTGTACCTAGGTCGGGAAATCAATATGATGAACGATCTAGCTCCAGAGCTGAGCAGGAGGAAACGAGCGGCTTGGGGAGCGTATAAGAACATCGAGGGAGTAGTGAAGAAGACGAAGAACATCCGGCTCCGTGCCCACCTCTTCGATTCCGCTGTCCTTCCTGCCCTAACCTACGCCTCAGAGACTTGGACTCTGCGCAGGCAGGACGAGCATGCGGTCAGCGTTATCCAACGCGCTGTCGAGAGGACGATGCTAGGAGTAACCCTGTACACGCAAGTGCAGAGGGGAATCCGGAGTGCCGAACTACGCCAACGATCGAAGATCAGGGACGCTGCCGTTTTCGCCAAGGAATCGAAGATAAGGTGGGCCGGACACGTCATGCGATTTTGCGATGACCGTTGGACCAGAGCGGTTACCGACTGGATCCCTCGGGACGTCAAACGAACACCTGGACGACCGCCGGCCCGATGGTCAGACTTCTTCACGAAAGCTCTGAACGAAAGGAATGAAGGACATCGTGTCCCTCGAGCGAGGAGGGTCCACTGGACAACTCTTGCACGCGACAGGGACGAATGGAGACGTTGCTGGCGCCCGCTCGAGCAATTCGATGATCAACGGGACGACAGGTGATACAGGTGATACTTACGTGTCCCCTGTAATTTCAATATACGCTAACCATACGTGGCATTCCCCAACGTTCGAACCTCGACTTTAATGCGTAGAAATCTTCATTCAAGCTGATGAATTGAACTTCAGAACGATCGGTCGAAAAGAGAAAAGAGCAGTAGGACGAAGCCCGTTGTTGTTCGCGTCCAGATTGTTCCAGGCCCTGAAGCTCAGACATTGTTGTTTTTGACTTTTTCGGTTCGGCGAAATTTGTGCAAGACGAGCTCCGGCCGCGGGCCGCTACAATAATGTAAAACGACCAACCGCAGCATATATTTATCCTTCTGATCATATGATCAGGTCCGAAGCCACGCAATCAACCAATTTAATGAACTTCCGCACAACGCAACCGGTACTGACATCCGGCCGCATCATCGAAAGGGATTGCACGCGCCTAACAATGCACTTCGCCTCCCCCCGACGCGTTCTCTGACCACAGATCCAGGCGTTAACGCCACTAAAACCCTCCGCTTCCTCTCAGCTCTCAAAAATTTCCGAACAAATCTCATCTATCGGCATCCTGTCTAACTTTTCGCCCAAAAATGTTCCCAACCGAGTTCCGTCCTTATGGTCTCATTCGAGCTTCCCAATTTGTTCCATCGTAGGAGTACTCAGACTGTATTGAGCTCATACAATTGCCTTGGTAGAGGGGGAGGGGCATCCGAATGTACACGATCAAAAGTTTATTTTCCACCTCCACCCCCCCCACCCCACACACCCCCCCCCCCCCCACCCCCCACCCCACCCCCACACACACACACCCCCCCCCCCACCCCCCCCCACCCCCCCCCCCCCCACCCCCCCACCCCCCACCCCCCCCCCCCCCCCCCCCCCACCCCCCCCACCCCCCCCCCCCCACCACACACCACAACACACACACACGACACACACACAATTCACCGACGCCGGAAGATGGAAAGCTCTGTTGGCACAGACGACGCAGGATTCAGGATTCGACCCTTC